CTCTATTTAAGTATAGTCACAAAGACTATCTTTCTCATATTCACATTTTCTAGATACCCACCAGATCACAAGACTTGCAGAATCAATAACCTAAGTATCATATTCTTGGCTTCTAATATTGTCAGACTGAGATTCCATCAGGCTATGGTCTGGTCTGAGCTGCATTCTGATAACAGCATGAAAAGAGACTGGCTGAGATGAAATGAAATAGTTTATTGCTAATGTACACTCAACAGCCAGCCATTCTGCACATCTGTATTCATATTTGTACTCTACACCTGCTGTACAGACCTCATCCCTCATAGAGATGAGAAGTACTTGCATCCAGCCTGTGTTTCAGCAGACATCTGTTCCTTTGGTTCCGCTTTAAAATCTAATCATCAAATATTTGTGTTTACAATGAAGACGCTATCCTCTCTCCCCATTTACATTTCTACCTAATTTTAGCTGTGCAGGTAAATATTTGATTCATGAGGCAGTGTCACTTGATTCTGCATGAAAGTTAATGCCATGGTTGAGAGATGTGTCAGCAGCATTCTGACTGTGTGAAGCACAGCAAACAACTTGACTAATCTTGTGTTTGCTGACATTGTGAGTGATGATCAGTGTCCTGGTGGCCCACCTGAATGTGGACCATAAGCTCTTGGCTCAGGGTGATATTCCCGGTTTCAGCTTTTTCTGGCCTCTTCGCTTCAGCACAAAAAAAAAAAAATATATATATATATATATATACATATATATATATATATATATATATATATATATATATATATATAGCAGATCCACGTGATCACTAAAATATATATATATATATAAAGCTATATTGCAAAATGGGAAAGGGCTACCAAGGGACCAACTGTAGTTTAAGAGGTAGGCCCATAAGCAGACTGATGCCTTAGAGATATTTTTAATTAAAGCAAGGTCACTATGGCAAAACAATAAAATCTTGGACTTTAATATAATAAATTTTGAGTGAAATGGGTTCACTCAGTTAAGGTTTCATTATTTTATGTTTTTAATCTTCACCTCCCTTTCTGCAGAGCTGTAGGGAGGCTGGATTGGAAAGCGGGGGAGCGAGAAGCACCCATGACATCAGATATTGACTTTTTTTTGTTAACTTTAGCACTCCATGGTATTCTCACATAAAGAAGCAGAGTATCCAGTTTGAAAAAGCAAACATTAATGGTATTCATGTATCACAGGGCAGCAGTTAGTTTCATCAAGACATCTTGGGTCACTCAATCCTCACCTATTCACTGTCACGCCAGGCAGGTTGCATCCTGTCTGCTGTGAATATGTGCAAGCTGTCAACCTTCAGCTGTAACTGCCTGAAAATAACTACCCCCCTCTTTTTCAGTATAATACACCTAACCACTGAGAAAAGGATATAGCAATGCCCAGTATTGAAGTTCTTTAGCCTGCAGAAGTGAAAAACGTTGTGTATAAGGGTGGCCTATCCTCCCCCAAAACATCTTGCAAAAGTGCAGGCTTATTCCTCATTTCATCACTGCACTTCACGGAGTTGTCTTGGCTCATCAGTAGAGCAGACAACCTTAATACCTCTATTACTTCTACAGTTTGTTTTCATTCACTGGGAAATACAGCCATGACTCAACACAAACTACACATCCTTGCTTACTTTTTTCAATATTTTTTCTTTCATTCATTTGGAGACAGATAATACTTGACAGACAGACAGACAGACTACTGGACTTTTTAAAATTTGACTCCAATAAACCTGCACCTTTGAAAAAATCTTATGAAAGCTTCTGCTGTTTAAAAATAATTCTGTCTTTATTTCACTTCCCACTTCATATAGTCATTTTTCTAAATAACTAAATGCTCTGAAGCTACAGTTTTTAAAGGACTCCAATATTTATATCACTCTGTTTCTTATTTCCATCAAAGAAAAGCGAATACAGCCTTTGTGCTTGTAACAGTGTTTATCTACAAAGCATAATCTGATACTATGAAGATTCACGTCGATGTAGCTTGTACTTTTTTCCCAGTGTGTGCCTGTGTTCTTCTTAGGGAGATGTTCGACTAGGCATCTGTCTGTCCACTTCAACAGTGCAGTAGTCATTAGAAAAGACCCTGCACACCGATCATTTTACCTCTGCTCAAGTGGAAGAAGGTCACCAGACTTTATTACCTTAAGTACAAAATGCACATCGCATTTTTCATTGTGCCATGTATTTTATGCCTTGTTCCACTCATTCTTTAACTTTAGCAGATGCTATTAAAATGATGGGATTTTAGTAGAAGGCAAAGCAGTATTATCACTGTCATCACACCATGAGAGTATGGCTGAGACAGTATGCCTCAACATACCAGGATCCTGAAACTGAAACAGCTAAATGCAGTTCAGCCATTACTTATTTATTTAGACCTGTGTTTTATCAGCTGTAATGTGCTAAAATTCTTCAGAAATAGCCTATTGCAGGCTTTAACAGATATTAAATGAACAGTATCTAAATTCTTGCATGTTTTTGAAGACGGTTATAATAAGGTAATTACAAGAATGCTTAATTATTCTCCCTACCTTACCTTTAAAATCCTTCATGGATACATGTTGTTACACACACCTCTGTGCACCTGTAGTATGCTGCTGAACCATGCTTCTTTAAAGGTTAGTGTACATGGTTGCACAGGACAGTGTAGTATCCTTTTAGCGGTTTGTGATTCATTGACTTTCTAGAATATTGTTTGCCACTGTTCTGTAGAATTAAAGCCAGCCGCCCTCCACTCACAATCTCAAAAAAGAAAAAAAGAAGAAGAAGAAGAAATGAAATACACTCTGTAGCTGGCATTGGGGATTATGTTTCCTCAGAAAGGACAGCATTTTCTCACTCTAGACTCCTACAGAATGTCAAGACAGTGGAATTTCATGAATTTATTAAGTAAAGATCAGTTAGCTCCAGTGCACCTGAACCATGAAAACACCACCAAAAACAATATTCACAGCATAGCCATACCTCTGAATATGTGAAAAGCCTTTATTGGCTTGACAGGCATAATTAAAAGAAATTTTAGGGGTTTTTTTTACTCAAACTGGGGTAAAACCTGAGGGACTGACAGTGATATTTATTACTGTTTGGGTTTTTACCTATTTTTATAGCATTCTCTGTGAATAGTGAACAGTATACTCTGGAGACATGCAGCAAAGATACCGAAGAGATTATATGAAGAAAAAAAAAAGCTAAGCAGAAACTGACAACAACACCTCCACATGGTACCCCCCACACAATGTATTTGCATCAGCATTTCCTACCCAGCTGCATTTGAATTATTGTGATGATGGCATTTTTAAGTCACATTTCATTAGTAATTTGAGCAATAATAATAATGATGATGAGATTAAATGATGCGGCAATACACAGTAATAATAGATGATAAAAGCCAATAATAAATGATAAATCTGTACAAATATCAAAGAAAGCGTTTAAAAATGCATTTTGAGAAGTGTTACTGATTGAGCAGTGAGCAGGTAGTTGATCAATAAAGCCACTGCCACAATATTAAAATCAGCAAATGTGTGCTATTGCGTTGGTCCCTTTCTTGTTGTTAAAACAACTGGTGCTCCTATCGGAATGGACACAAGAGCTGTGGGGGTATCATGTGGTCTCAGCACTGGAATATTGGTAGCAGGACCTTTAGATCCAGTCGATTAGAGGGTGGAGCACTGCTGGTGGAGACTGATGTGCCATTGCTTTTTCTGCAACAGACTTTATGCAGGATGCGTCAAGTTAACATCCGCATGAATCCAAGCAACTAAGGTTTTCTATAACAACATTGCATTGCAACAGCATTATCAGTGTTATTCACCTCACCTGTCAGTGATTTTACTGCCGTGGCTGATGTATATGGTGTATATGTAATGTGTGTAATTTGGAATATTTTCCTATTACTATTTATAGTCAGCCTCACCTTCACCTCTTTCTGACAATGGTCTCCATCAGGACAATCGAGGTCAAGGAAGGTCCACAGACCTATGGCTGTCCCAGCCTCTTCTGCTCCCATGTGTGAGCTGGACTAATGAGGCAGACAGCTGCTCCCGTAGTTGAAATGTCCCTGTGGTGAACTGTACCTGGGAGAGACAATGTCACCTTCAAATTCAGGCATATTACTGTACTAATGGAAACCAAAGCAGACGTGTAAAATCAAGAGAAAAAAATGTGCAAAGATTAGCTTTTAGACAGTGAAATGTATCCAGGAAAAGGCGGTACATTAGTTTCAAGCATGAACTCGAAAGCTTTATTGCTTTAACACAATTTATCCTTTAAGGGTATAGCCTGCTCAGGCTCATATTAGCCTACACTTTGTCTTATCACAATTCCCTACGAAGGAGTATTGTTTTAGACATCTGTTTCTGAAGCTTGGCAGAGTTCAATAAAACACAGGCGGGATAGAAATGCGTCTGCAATGTAATTAGGGGACTATGCTGAGACGACAAGTACAAATGTGGAATAAGAAGGTAAAATCCAGCAAGGCTGAGTGATTAGGCCTCATTTGGATGTCTTCTACACACTGTGACGAGCGGCTGTTTCAGGGCACGGCAGTCACTCGGATCGAAGGCCCACAGTGTCTAGGATTATGTGTCAATTTACCACCCAGCTGCAGCTATACACTCTACAGCAGAACATGACTACCTCTAATTAGGCCATGCTACCAATTAGAGCCCAGCAATAAGGAAGCAAGGAAAGCACTTTGGGAGATTAAAACCTACCATTGTTTCCACGATAAAAAATCACTGTCTTCTACAGCTGTCAAAGGCTGGGGACCATGACAACCAGGCTCCCATTAAGCTATCTTTGGTTTACTGTGATGTAATGAAGACGTTAATGGAACTGGGCAATATGACAGAACATTAAGTTTGCAAGGTGTCAAGCCTGAAATGGTACATTAATGTGATTCTGTGAAAGGACAGTAAAAACTAGCCCAATACAGCAATCTATTCATGTCACAACCATGACCTCAAACTGTGTTTTATAATCCTACAGGTATCCTGGGTCAGATCCCCATAACTCAGAATGTGACGGTGGTGGAGGGGGCCATAGCCAACATGACCTGTCGTGTGGATTACAATGATAACACTTCCCTCCAGTGGTCAAACCCTGCACAACAAACTCTCTTCTTTGGGGACAAAAAAGGTAAGTAATACTTACAGGGAAAATGCTTGTGATGATTAGATAATGAGATAAAGACGTCTTAGGCAGATTATATTACAAGAGTCTTATTCATTAATTCTTTTTAATTTGGAGCATTCAAAATTGCCCCTGCCTGCAAGCACGCTGTTTGACTGAACACGGGGAAAAAATGATACGAAAGAAATAAATGCATCACTCGTAATGTTGAAGGAGACTATTAATGAATGTGTATCTCCATTGATGTCCCAGGGCACAAACTAAGCAGAAATAGACTGCTTTTGAATTGCACTTTTGTAATCATGAAACACTGACAGTGTTGTTTACAGCACAGTAATGCCTGTGGATTGTAAGATGATTGGGCTTAATTAGTATTTTAGTTGCCCTACATTTGTATAGCTGTTTGTATGTCACTCTGGAAAGGAAGTACAGTGTTGCAACCTTGTGAAACACGGCCTCAGCCAGAATGAATTATAATGTGCTCTCACCAGCCAAATCCAATTTAAAGGTGACAAAAAGTCCAGAGTTGATAAATTGGAATTGGGGTGAAAGGGAGTAACATTGGACTGGTATGGAAGGGCTGGGGTGTTCATCTTTCAGTGTTTCTCACAGCATATTACCCATTTCATTTATGGTGTAGCTGCTAATACAATATCATTGGTTCAGTGATTGAAGATGAACTTTCCCTTTGAATAACAATTGATAAGAGGCAGAGATGCCAGAGTGAACCAGCAGAATGAGAGTCACAGTCTGGATTGAAGAAATACTTTCTCCCTCACAAGTGATTGGATTTAGTAATGAGGTCTAAGGTGTTTTATTAGATGAAATTACTTCCAAATACAATTAAATGAAAGTTAACTGAATCTTAAACAGATACTCTTATGTGAATGGTGTAAATGTGACCAAAGGATCCGGTCTTTGAGCCAAACTGTATTTTTGGAGAGAATAATAGTTGTGGTATTTTAACATGTCAAAGGTAAAAGCCTTTAAAAATCATTTGGAATGGATTTTAAATGTTTCTGATTACGTCACTTTGATATTTTCCATCACATAATGCAAATGTTTTTTCCCTCCCTAGATTACACAGTGTGACTGGCTGCATCATTAACAGTTAAGGGCAACAGCTGGCTGATAATATACATTAGCTAGTGCTGTAGCTCATGCTTATAAAACATCTTACAATGTAGAAATTCATAATATTTGATGGGGCGTTAGTTTAGGCCCAGTGGCCATGCATGCCAGTCGGCTATTAAGCCTGTGGAAATGGGAAACTGCAATTTCTGATAAAAACATTTTAAACACAATGGCATAGTGACACGACAACAATGATATTTTTGTTTTCTTACCTTGAGGCAACTGTTGTTGTCTTTTGGTGCTATATCAATAAAATTATATTTTCACGTTTGACTTGTATTTCCATTGCAACTTGACTTTTATTAGACTTGTTAGACACCTATAGTTTCAAATGAACCAGATCATACCTGAAAAATACTTTATTATCAAGCGATGTGACGTGATGAATCAACTTCTTTTTTTAATTTAACATAAATGAAACCAGCTGGCTATAATATGTTCCTATCTCCTGTGAGTGCAGAGCTGCATCTACTTGTAAATCTGCAATGCTGTTGCTTTAAGCATGTAAGGAGAGCTTGGGGAGCACAATACGTGTGAGCCATTTTGCCCTTCTTGGGTAACAATTTATATTGGATGACAGAATCCTTTTCCTGAGCAATAAGGATGACAAAATGAATATAGTCCATTCAGCAGAGGTTGCCAGGGCTAAGTGTGGGAACACTTCCTCTTCATCTCCTACAGCCAAATGAAAAGCCTTATTGGCCCAACAAATACGATGCCTGTGAGGCTATCAGGACAAACTGGAGGCGTGGAATGACACAGGCTTCATATGACGAACAGGGTGGGACACCTGGGAAGAAATCTCTGCTGTGCCAAATCACCAGTTAATTGCTTGGCAGAGGGCTGCAACTGTCCTTCTTCTGCCGTTTGTTGTGCCTTGTTGTAGAGCCAATGAAAAATGTTAAATTCAACCTTATGCAACCTTTCAGTCCAACAACTAGCTACAGACTGGTTGAGCTTGAGGCAAGCTGTTCTCTCCCTCTCATGAACAGCTGCTTGTGGACTGCTGTCACGGAGTAATTTAGATTTTTGTAGCCCTTCTTGTTTCTAGTGTTTAGATTTATGGCTTTATTTTTTTCCTGATGTTCTGATAGATATCTCCTTTCCTTTGTGCTTGTTGTCTCTGTGTGCTGTCCACCTCTGCATACTATAATCCTCTTGGGAATCCATGACAACATGGCCATATGTAACCATTTGAAGCTCATGCAAGTTCCCTTTATTCTCTCTTCACAGAGAGGATGGGGGGAGTTTGTCATTGTGCATGTGTAATCCAAAGGCGATTCAGCTTTCACCGCTTTTATGTGTGATTCTGGATGCATAACACATAGAAGTAATGATGCTATGAGGCATATTTTTTGAAATCTACTCTTGGTCATTCCCTCAAGCTTGGTATTAAAGATAAGGGCATGTGTCTGAATGTGTTTGGAGTTTGATCTAAAATTGTGCGAGAGGAAAAGGAGTATTAAAATGACCTTTTAAATTCCTTTGAGAAGTTATAGCAGAGTAAAGTGAAACAACTAAAAAAAACCTGACATTCCATATTCAATTGAGTTTTACAGCTTCTGGGTAAAGTAAGACAAAATCTGATCTTTGCCCGAGCTATAATTTGTTCCATTTTAATTCAGGTCTGACAAATTAGATTTTTTTAAAACTGCATTACAGCCAAGGACAAAGGGATTTCTGTGTCTTTCAAAAACACTGAATATCATAAATCTACTCCAGTTTAACAGAACTATATGTAGTGTGTGCAATGTCTTTGGAATTATTATTGACACTGTTTGTTTCAGTTACATCAGTTATGGCCAGGAAAAATACTTCACTTAAAAAAACACATCTTCCAAGGCACAGCTTTCTGATTAGCCACTCCTATGGTAAAGGTAAGTTATTTGTAACTGTTCACCCTTGCCAACATGGTTTACTGTTATTAGACGACAAGCAGACGTGAGCAAGCTGTATTTGGTGTTATAATACAAGGGATCACATTAAAGGATGCACTCTTGTGCTTCAGTTTTGTGCATCATTTTTAGATCTTTTGGCTGATAATTGGGTTTTATGTTACTAGAATGAAAAACTTGATAGCATGCCAAAAAATAGCAAAGATTTGGAACAATAAACACCTATGATCACTACTGTACTGTATTAAACTCTGTCTAGTTGCTAGTTAAGGCTTTACTCTGGGATTTTACAAGAAACCTTCCACTTCTTACACAAAAAATAGTTTTTCTTATCCAGTTAAATGAACATAGTCTTTTCACATTACAGATCGGCAGTACTCATAACCCTAACGCCAACATTAACATTATCATTTTATTATTAGCTATGGCCACTAGCCGCTACCCTAACAGTGGGCAAAAATAATAACTGTTTTAATGATGGCACTAATTATGCACAGTTTTTCCCCAGAGTGTCTGTAACTCATAGAGGCCTGGCAGTTTTACAACTGCCTTGCCAAAGGGGTTTGAAAGAAACCATCAGGGGCTGTTGGTATAGGAGACCATCAGACAAAGTGCAACCACAACTTTGATCTCTGGAACTGTGGTTGCACTTTGTATAATTTTTCTTTGTTGTAACATCTCACACAACTTTCACATTTTGATTTGCATGATTACAAAAATGTCAGTCACAAAAAGCATTTAATAATCAACTATTGTTAATTATTTCATGGTGAGTATTGTACTTAATCCCAAGAATACTCCAGTTGACCTTTGGCTGATTTAATAACAACATGCAGCAAAGGAAGGATCACAACAGTGCATAATTAGATTATAAACCCACTGGGATTCCTTAAATGAAACACAATTCCAGCAGTGCATCATGCAAAAACTAAAACTTCTCTACACAGCGATGGTGTGACAAACCTACAAAAAGGATAAAAGATTAAACAAGGCCTAGGTTGCAGGTAGGAACGAGACAGTGCAATTGGTCACAACTAAAGCGATATGTATTATGGGCGAGAGAGCCGATGATATCTCATCCTGTCCCATAACAGGCTCAGTGAAACCTTGAGATTGTTAACCTTGCTAGATTTCCACATCCGATCCATATGTGTTGGATTGTCTCTGCATATTTGTCTAAAGCTGAACACAGCCCTCTTCTTATTTCATGCCAGCTGGCTCTTTGGCATGCGCCTCCTCATCCATTATGAGCATCTGAGTCTTGGTTGATTGTTGCCACCTCACAGGCTTCAGACAACACTAAGGCAAAGACCAGCATTCAGACAAACCACAGACCTGAGACAAGGGAGACAGATAGGCTTAATAGCTAGGCCAATGCATCCTTCATTTATTAGGCTGATTAGTGGTTACTGAAAGCAAACAGCTCTGTGGTGAGTTGCCACAATGAAAAAAAATTGATTTAGACCATATGTCTTTTGTAGAATTATCCCTTTCATATGCTGCTGGAGTTTAAAATTACTATTCCTGAGCAGGGCAAATGAGAACAGAGCTGTCTTTTACTGTCTTCATTATGATTAACTTCACTTTTGGCTTCTGTGAGAAAAGGATAAATGTAAGCAGCAGGGTTGTAAAGAATGGTAATGACATCTGTGAGGCATGCAGAATGGAAACAGAATATTTTGTCAGATATGGGAAATATGAATAATGCAATTAATGGAAAGCTGCTGCAGGTTGCATGTCAAAGGCAGATAGCAAATTGCTAATTTGATCTACAGCGCGTGGAGCAATGTAGAGCAATATACGGCATATACATGCCATAGCAGATTGTTAAAGACTTCTCCCCATTTCAGTTCCATCTCTCAGAAGTTCATGGTTCTTCATTCATGACATTTAATTGGGGCATTCAGTCTGGATCATAAAGGTCACAAAGCAAAATTGATCTTAATTGGCTTGTAGTAATCAAAATGCTGTTATGTGCTAAATGAATGCTCTAATGTGAGCATTAAAACATTCATTAGCTTGAGAGAATGAAGGATAATTACCAAGGATGCAATTACTGGAGTGAGCACCAATGAAAGCCCATTTAAGCCTCCTTTCTAGAAAACACATATTTGATGGTGTGTGTGTTATCAGCAACTGAGTGACACTTACCTTTAAAATTCCAGTTGAACTACATATTATTATTAGTCTCATTATTGCTATTACAATTATTATGACTGTAGTTCTGTATACTTCATTCATAGACTTAAATTATAAGATAAAATAAAGGACATAAACATACAAACAAAAAACATTTAAGTAAGATGTAAAAGATCAAAACATAGCACGATGTTAACTTCATAAATGTAAATGTCACATAATATTTTTCCTAATCTTCTTGGGGAACTAATTTTTACATGTGACGAGGCATAGATTTGCTGTTCCCAGTGTAATTGGCAGCAAACATTTAAAAAGTGCCTCATGGCCTCAACTAATGTATTTCTTTGGGGACTAATGGGCTTTTAAGTGTACTCCTTTACCTCTAGCTTCACTGAAATGTGAATCTACCATTAGGGTACTCTACACTCAGCTAGGATCACTTCTGTGCACAGCTACTCTTCTATGCACTAAATGATGATCTGTGCCACACTGCACTCTAATGTATAAAAGCTACTTTCAGGTGCTCCCTTATTCACAAGGGGTCACCACAGCAGATGGTGCCACATGTTTGATTTGGTACACCTGATGCAACCTCAAAGGGATTTGAGCCTCCCCCTGGTCTCAGTCCAGTGAACTTTCATTTGTTAGCTAAATATGTAAACCACTGTACTATGAAACCTCTCATGTATAACTTATAAGTATTTAGTGTAATTATCTGTTGTATTTAAAGGCCCTTAGAAGTTTAAGGTCCAACTGAAAGAAGTGAAAAGACTACATTGTAAACTATTACAATTATATAGTCCTGCTTGGTACTTGTTTTGGTCAGGATTTAATCTGGAGAAACTGACAGCATAGATGGAGGAAATTCCACAGTGTACGATCAAGTTAAAGCTAGTTAGTTGAGAAATGGACAAAAATATATTAAATCTCATTATTCACTGCATGAAGAAGGTACGCAACATAGCTGCTGGAAAAATTCCTCCCTCTTTGCTTAGCTCCCTCAAGTGCCGGAAATTAGTCCAATTTGAGCAGCATCTGCTCTGTGGGATCTTTGAAAGCACGGGCAATGACAATGGCCCTTTGGAACAAGGCTCTTTCCTTTTCTTAATTGCAGCCACATGTGTTGTGGGAAAGAGCCCCCTGCCTGCACCACTATAGACCTGGAAGACATCCAGATTCGCCCACACAGTCACCGAGCGTGCACAGCTAGCAGCAAACACACTCTAATTGCAAAGAGTGGAGCCCCTGGCTGGAGAACGGGTAGGGGTTAGTTGCCAGGATCCTGTGTTCTCGCTTAAGGAGAGCTAGTGCTTTCACATTTCAGCAATAGCTCAAAGTGGTTACAGGCCATTCAAAAAAGCCCAAATGGGGAAACAGTACACATGTAACATATTTTGGCTGAACCCAGGAGCCATCAGCTTCCAAGACTAATGAGTAGATGTGGAATCTCATTTAAAATCAGAACTGTCGGTGGATACTTAATTGTTTTGAATTAAAAACATTTTAACACCCCTCAGTGTTGTGGAAACGTGAACGCCATGTGATGATTGCTCTTCGAGGCACTTTTATTTTTAAGGTCATTGCTATTCTAACCAGACCGCCTGTTCTTCTTATGTGTGTCAAAACTGGGCATCAGGTTATAGTTTCACGTGTTAAAACCATTTTTGGAACATATTACCTGCAGGTGATATTCAGTAAAGTATGCCTAGATTGTTAAAAGTAAATATCAAAAACTTTGGTTATGCCCATTGACCTCACTTTGGTCTTCCACTGGTATGGTTGGTAGTGCGAAGGACTGTCAGGGAAATGAGCCAAACATTACTTTGCATCAAAAGGGCAAAGCAACAGCGTTCCCTGCCCTGAGGGAGAACTTGGGTGTCAATTTTACTGATTTGAGACAGCCTTGGTAAGGCCTCCATCGCAGAAGACGTACGGCTGCCATGCTATTAAGCTGCCATCCTGCAAGGCTGGAGCATACACAAGGTCAGGGTGCAGATTTATGTTTGTGCCTTAGCAGAATGAACAGCGCAAGAGCTGTCTAGGGTTTGGGGGAAATGAACCTTTTCATCACATTGATTTCCTAAAGCACCTGGAAAAAAGCTTTGTCAGCCGTTGGCATTTGGGTCTGATTGTGACAGATCTGGCCACATTCTAGGCCTCCAGCCTGGATTGGATTCTGGTAGTATGGTTTCCTGGCCATATGCCGTTTGAGTAATAGATAACCCCTGTCTTTGGGTTATTCAAACCTTTGTACATCTCATTCTATCAATATGTCATTGACCCATGTGTTGTGTAGTACCAGTGAATGTCTAACAAAAATGCATCAGTCATGACCATCTTTTATTCAACTATAAGTTGTTTGGCAGCTTTTGCGTGGGTTCAGCCTATCAGAACAAGTAATTCGGCTACTGACATTTAGATATATTTCAATTCCGAATAGTAATATGGTGTTGTGCAGAAGATACAGAAAATGAGCTGTATCCAACTTGGTCCTTTAAATGTCATTTGAAATTATCACTGGTCTGTACTGTACTTCGGTCACTGTTTGGTATTTAAATTGATAGCCTATCTATTTAGTAGCAGACTTTGTTAAGAGGTTGGTTTTATTTCCACTACGTAATTTTTGCGAATAGCAGTCTTAAATTTAATTGTCAGAATCCAACAAAATTGTGGTTTACCAAAGAAATATAAAGAAAGTCCCCCTTGGAGTATAACAGAAATGATTGTTACTGCATTTGTTGAAAATATGTGTAAATAAGCCACTGTGGAGTTCTAAGGGTGCTAATGGTGCAGATTGGAAGGAGGCTAACTAATCACCATGGAGAATCAGCACTTTTAATTATTCTTGTCGCCCGTGAAGAAACATAATTTCAAACTAATCGTAGCTGCTGTGGTAAACCACACATTATTCTGTATTTAAACACCCAGATTGTGTGCTAGACGTAATTTTAACCAAAAAACACCAGCTTTCTCTGACCAGTTCCCTTTTACATAACAACAGCAGACCATTTATCGTCATCTCAGAGATGTTTAAGGAGCGGGGGGGTTAAGAAGAAAAGTTGGCCTGTTTCTCCTGACTTTCTTCAGTGCGTTGCAGAGATAGAGGGATATGGGCCAGGGGAAGACTAGCACTGTATGTCATCTTGTTGAAAGCTTTGATCCTCCCAGCCCATACTGCCATATCTTTCAAGTTCCTGTACAGTGTTTGCTTAGACCCCATAACCTCTCCAATGTATCCATCCACCAAAGGGTTTGCTGTTTTCTGCCAGAGCCTCTGGGCATTTTCAGGCTCTGTAGTGAGGATGCTTAACTACAAAGAACATCAGGCAGCTTTGTTTCAGGATGCTGTTTGCTACAGTAAGACTATCAAATGTTTGTATTAAGCCCTGTAGCACATAATAAGCTTGCTGTCTGATGGCACAGACAGCAAGCTATTAAATTTTAATTCTTGCTTGAAGATTGTTTTTATTTACACAAGTCCTTATTCTTGTATTACAAAAAGTCTCTAGTAAGAAACTTCTTAGGGGCATCAATGTCTTTTTTTTCCCTCTTTCGTTTTTTTAGCTTGTGTGATTACACGATAATGATCATCAAATTATATGCTGTAATTGAAGCTGAAGAACAGCATTGTTGATAATGAACTATGCCTGTGTAAACCTAATAACCACTTCACCCAATCTAATTTAATTGTGTATCACATGTATGCTGTGTATGTTTATCACTAAAATCAAATGGAAATAACACTGGTGATTAATGATTTTTATATAGATTTGCTCTTTATCTGATAGGGCAGCACATTACATTGGTCACAATGATTAAATCCTAATCAGCACCTATTCCTGCTGCATTTTGCCAGGTTTTGCCTGTGTAGTACAATTCAATAGAGTTCAAATTGCTTCAAATGAAAAAGGGTGCAGGGAAAGCGCTGGCCAAGCCTCGGGGGACTGAGGATTAAGAATGTGCAATTTATTCAATGAAGGGCACTTTCCTTCCTGGCCTCTGTGGTTGGTCGCTTGTCGGAGCAGGTGATTTTGAATTTGAAATTGTATAGAAGATGACATGAACAAGATCACCTTTTTAACTATAGATATGTTTCTATGGGTTGGTCAGGGTGCGATCTACCCATTGCTTTTGTCACTGCTCATGTGTACAACACAGTCCTATCAGTGCAAAGATTTGAAAACATGTCCATGTCAGTATTAAAATTTTGCCTTTTGCACTGTAACTGTTGCACGTCTCTGAGCACAAGCAGAGGCAGCTGCTAAAAGTGTAAATCATTACCCTCCAAAATATTTTAATCTCAGATTGTATTTTTTTTCTATCGCTACGCTTCAGTGCGTCCCATGGATGCCTACTGTATTCTCGTTGAATGTGAATAAGCCTGTCAGCCTAGAATGGAAATCAAAAGAAAATGTTTCAAACCACTGGCCACAGTATGTGTTTGCAGCATTTGACAACTATTAGAAATAACTGAAAGCACAGTGTATTCTGCCTTGTTCTGGTAAAGGTCATCTGAATTTCATAGTACCTCTACACGTTTGCTGCCCTCACTGAAATTCAGTGCGCATTTGCTCATTAGTTAACTGTACGTCTTCTTTCCTCTGCCATCTATGACTCTTTGTGTCCTCCTTTCTTGCATAGCTCTGAGGGATCACAGAATTGAACTAGTTCGAGCCTCATCGCAGGAGCTCACCATCCGAATCAATGACGTCAGCCTGTCAGACGAGGGACTGTACACTTGCTCGCTCTTCACGATGCCTGTCAGGACCACCAAGGCCTTTCTCACTGTTCTGGGTGAGCATGTGCATTTTGGTGAAGTCTCCATAGGTGAATTACTTCTCAGAAAATAAACACCTGCACATGCTTTTAGGTTCTGACATTAAAAAACTGCATGACTGTAACATTGTCTGCTAGATGAAAAATAGTAATAATAAAGTTAAACTATCTTGTAAAGAAAGATTGATATCTGAAATAAATTATTTTTGTTGCTGTTAGAAGAAATCCACCTAGAATTCCCACTGAGATATTACTCAATGTGCATACAGTATTTTTTTAGTTGTTAGATTGTAGATTTACATTTCTGTGCACTGCAGGAGTGCCAGGACGACCAGAGATCACAGGCTTTACCAAGCCAGCAATGGAGGGGGACGTAGTCACTCTCACGTGCACCACATCAGGCAGCAAACCAGCTGCTACCATCCGATGGTTCCGAAATGACAAGGAGGTCCAAGGTAAGTGTGTGGAGTGGATTTAAGAAGCCATTGTATTCTCATTGTACTCTCTGTCCATTTCTATCTGTTAGTAGGTGTCCTTACCGTCAACTCACTCCGGTGCTATATTTCTTTATGCTAAAATATTCATGCATTTTTCCCGTGGCTGTATTGCAATAGTTCTGTGAGTTGCATGGTGCATTATCAGCAATGCTATTGTACTTGGAAGCTGTTCACTAGCTAACTTTTATTGATTCTAATTAAAAGTTAACTGTAAATAAAAAAAAATCTCTGCATTCAGTGTTCATTGTCATACAAATGAAATTAAAGATGCATTCAGTCAGTCGATTCATAAAAAGCAACAGCATCCAATACGACAGTTCTTAAAAAATATAAAAATGTCAAATCTAACGTTTCTTCTTGGGCTTCAGTAAACAAAATTCCCGAAAATGCCGTTTCCTTTGAAATAAAACAGAAAAAGAAAATTTTAGAAACCCATATGTTTGTGTTTTGCTGAATATTTTATACAGTATATCTAACATATTTTCACAAGCTTTTAAATTTCTTCTTTTGATTGAGTGACTCCTCCATAAACTGTACAATTACTGTATATTTTGATTTTAAGACAAAGAAGTTATAATTGACTGAATTGATCTATTGCATTTCAGCTTTTTCAGTCTTTTGCTAATTGATTGGCAAGGAAAATCAGTAAAGAAGGGCACAAGAATGTGTAACAATACAAACCTGGAAAGAGCAGATACCTAATTTAATCCAACTACCCCACTGAAACAGTGCAATATCAGATGGTAAACCATGATGTGCAGTGATTACAATAAACCAGCAGAAGTTTTCAGTGGTTCCACAGAATCATACAAGCTTTCACGTTCTTGTACACTGCTTTCCAAACTCTTTGAAACTCTGCACTTTATGTTGTATAGCTTTTATCACCTTCTTATTTCTGGTTTTAAGAAGCACAGGGACAAAAACATTAAGAAATAGGAGTGGAATGTTTTTCCTCAATTTGATGGCTGAGATATGCTGTTTGGAGCTCTTTAATGTAATGGAGCCTGCTGTGGAGGCTCAGTGTGACAGTTGCTCTTTATTGAAGATTTGCACCAGAGAGCTTTTTCTTGGTGGTTCTGTCTGTGTCTGGCCAACATGGCATGATGATTGATGGGAGAGGGGCTGGGATATGAAGTTTTCTTGTTGAAATGACATGCACGTAGATTCCTGAAAGGCTAGTGGAGAGCTGGCACACAGCATCACAACCAGACTTGCTGTCCGTCTCAAGATGCAGTGAGAGATGAGATGATATTTTTGTGCTTTATGTTTTAGAATGCAATTAAATCCTTAAAGCCTTAAAGCATATAATCTTAGGATATATGGACATGTGCACATAAGCCGAGTATAAAAATGCAATCGAGCAGAATTCAAAGAGTGATGCATGCAAATATCAGGATAATACCTTTTGCTGTGATATAAAAATTTAATACCTTATTGTTCACCGGGGTTTCACAAGCAAGCATAAAGTGAAGATAAAATGAAAAAAATCCCATTATTTATATGTGATATAGAAAATGGCATTTAAATATGTAGAAATTGCGCGTCTCTAAAAAAGATCCTGTGCCCCCAGTCTGCCCCAAACTGGTATGTTGTATACAAATGTGCTTTTATTAGTTTTACTGGCATACAGTGGATTTTATTAAGTCGCTTGGGCAAACACATCAGGAGCGTTGCATCTCCAAGTCAAAGAAAAAAAAAGAACATAGCAGAGACTGGAGGGCTTGACTTAAAAACTTCATTTCCATGTCAAAGTGTCAAAGACAGGGAATGTCAATCAGTGCTCTGGATCCAAGTCTTTTGTAGGTGTGGCTTTAAAGCTTTCTTTAGCGAGTATGTTGTGGGAGCAGCATGTTTTGCCATTGGTTCTTCTGTGGAAGATCATTGCCGCCAGTGTCTGCTGTCAGTCAAATCTATCCCCACTGGGGGACCAGTCTACAAAGCTCTAAGACGACAGAAGGTGTAATAGCAAAAACATGTCATATTTATTTCATGCTCTGGTGATTTGTTTTTCGACAATTTATATTAGAGGCACACAGCATTACAAACCTCAAAATGCAACTGTCATCCAGTGTCAAATAATTTGTTTACAGAGTATAGAGTCATACAAGTTACTTGTGTCGCTGAATGACAGCTAGACTTCAAATTGTAATCTATTGAGAAAAAAACCCACCCACTGTTACTCTCTTTGCATACATAAAGTTATCCTTTTTCCACAGCGGTTTGAGATAAATTGAAATTTTCTATTTGGCATATTAGACACTTAAATTGTCCAGCTATCCTACAGTACAGTTCGACAATACATTTCTGTCCTCTATTTTAAATTAGTGCTCACTTCTTGTTGAGCAAGTTTTACTCATTTCTTATCCATATACCTTTCTTAGTATATAAACAGTGTCTGCAGCAGCGGTTACTGTAGGAAAGAGCAGGGATTGCAATTTCTAGCCTTCTTGTGGTATCAGGGATATATTTGTATAATTGTGCTATCGTCTTACTGACAAAAGCTGACATCCCAGTAGTACACAGTGAAATGTATATCTATCATACCAGTTTCACCTTTAGTCATTTATTTATTCATTTTGTCCCCTTTCCTCTACTTTCCCCATTCCTCTCACAATTATCTCACAAGAGCTCTGACAAGGAAGCAGTTACCATTTTTTTAATACCTGTGGCCATCAAGGCTGTGTGTCGCTTCATATACTGAAATATGTTTCCTATATAGCCAGTGTCTCACTGCCTAAAGTAAGATACGTTTTAAGAAAAGTGTTTAGAGTTATTTTCAGTGCTTTTCCTTAAGTCCAACATTAGACCTGACTGCTTTTTTACTCATTACCAGTGTTGGTCAAGTTAATTACTAATTACTGATTGCTTCTCCAAAAGATTAGTCCTCTTACTTTACTGATTACTTATTTTCAAAAGTAATTAATTACTTAGTTACTTTTCAAAAACATGATATACAGCCTGAATACGTAATAAAGCAATAGACCTTTCAGCCCAATTCTATTTTTTATGGATAATCCATCATATAAAATTGAATCGAATGAAAAGCCTCTTTTAATTTTATGCACATTGCATTAAGCAAAAATATAATTATATGCAACAGTCTTTGACTTGAAGAAATTCTTTAACCTATTTTCTGCAGATTCCAGCATATAAAATAAAATAATGTTTTGTGTTCACAATCACTCTTTCAAATAGACCCAAGTAAAACACAGCAAAAAACAAATAAAATCCTGTCGCTCTTAAAGCTATTTTCACCTGTTTAGCAGGAGTGGGGCCGATGGAGGTTTGCAGCGGTCATGTCAGTGGAGAATTCCGGGGGTTTCTCTGTGAATTTCACATTCCTGTGGCGGCTTGCTAGGTGCTTGCTCAGATTTGAAGTTTACTTTTTAACGTCACATGTGCTTACGTCACTGTCATGAGACTCTCTCACAAACAAAATCACAACGGTTTAGTAACGCAGTAATGCAGTGTGCTTACGGGAAAGTAACAGTAATCTAATTACTTTTTGAAGTAGTAATCCCTTACATTACTCATTACTCGAAAAAGTAATCAGATTACTTGTAATGTGTTGCTGCCCATCTCTGCTCGTCAGAATGTAAAAGGATATAGTACGTATACCTACCCATCTAAAGAGAGATGACTTGAGAACAGGCTACATTTTTTTTTGCCCCAATTTTAATATTAATTGGTGTTTTTACATTTTTAATCACTTATGATATTAGATTAGATTAAAATCTCATTTAAAGACAGAGCTCCTTAGCTAATTATCCCAGTTGTGTGGTGGAACCAAAATACAGCATAACACCCTCACATTCCCAGTCACTCAGAATTTACACTCTGAGCTAGAGGATCACTGGCTGTCAGCCGGCTGCAGTGCCCTTCCCAGCCAATTTCCAGCTACTGTCTCACTCCTCCTCTTGTAAGACTACCTATATTCTGTCTATATGTTCTGTGCTATTCACTAAATAGCTGAATGCATCAATATATAAACTACCTAATAATATTTTTAGCGCATGTCTTGCACACAGTGTGACAAAATAATCTGTAAAAGGAATGTAATTAGTAAAAGTATTAAAAGTAAAACCAACAATCACTACAGACTGATTTGTGGCCAGTATTTGTTATTTGTGCATTTTAACTATAAATTTTATAACTTAATTTCACCCTAACTCAGCATTCATCATCTTCAATGATGAATGCCGATGCTTCACTGGCTGATGAGCTGAACACGTTTTATGCTCGCTTCGACGCCGCAGCAATTAAAACAACAAATGGCTGCGCGCGCTCGGAGTGCACCAGTGAAGAAAATGCATTCGTCATCACAGAGCATGCCGTGAGGAACACCTTCAGGAGGGTGAACACCAGGAAGGCAGCAGGACCAGATGCAATCCCTGGCCGGGTCCTTAGAGCCTGCGCTGATCAACTAGCACCGGTGTTCACGGAGATCTTCAACCTCTCCCTGGCCCAAGCTGTGGTTCCCACGTGCTTCAAACGGTCCATTATTGTCCCTGTTCCAAAGAAACAACAGCCCGCTTGCCACAATGACTACCGTCCAGTAGCACTGACTTCAATTGTGATGAAGTGTTTTGAAAGACTGATGAGAGATCACATCACTTCTTCACTTCCTCCCACCATCGACTCACTTCAGTTTGCTTACCGGACTAATCGTTCCACAGACGATGCCATATCTCACCTGCTCCACACATCCCTGAGTCACCTGGACACTGGCAGAGGGAATTATGTTAGGATGCTGTTCGTGGACTACAGTTCAGCATTCAACACAATAATTCCCTCTAAGCTTTTCACCAAGTTGACGGATCTAGGACTCAGCTCATCACTGTGTCAGTGGATCCTCAACTTCCTCACAGACAGACCCCAATCAGTGAGGGTAGGAAAACAAGTCTCCCCCTCCATCTCACTCAGCACTGGAGTGCCTCAGGGCTGTGTTTTAAGCCCCCTGCTGTACTCACTGTACACTTATGACTGTGTAGCCACATCCGACACCACCTCCATTGTCAAGTTTGCTGACGACACTGCTGTTGTGGGCCTGATCTCCGACAACATCGAGACGGCCTACCTGGAGGAGATTAGGAACCTGGAGACCTGGTGCCAGGAGAATAACCTCCTCCTAAACATCAGCAAGACTAAGGAGCTGATCGTGGACTTCACTACAAAGCAGGCGAGGAATTACAAACCCCTCATCATCAGTGGCACGCCAGTGGAGAGAGTGGACAGTTTCCGATACCTGGGTGTCCACATCACTCAGGACCTGTCATGGTCCTGTCACATCAACACCCTGGTTAAGAAAGCCCGTCAGCGTCTCTTCTTCCTCAGAAGACTTAGAGACTTCCATCTGCCACTGAAGGTGCTCAAGAACTTCTACTCCTGCACCATCGAGAGCGTCCTGATGTCAAACATCTGCACCTGGTTTGGGAACAGCACCAAGCAGGACAGACGAGATCTGCAAAGGGTGGTGCGCTCGGCAGAACGCATCATTCAATCAGAGCTCCCTGACCTGCTGTCCATCTACACCAAGCGGTGCAAGTCCAAAGCTAGGAAGATTATGATGGACCTCTCCCATCCCAACAATGGACTCTTCTCACTGTTGAGGTCTGGGAAGCGCTTCCGCTCCCTTAAGGCCAAAACAGAGAGAATGAGGAGGAGCTTCTTCCCCCAGGCTATTCGGGGCCTGAACCAGGTGTAGGACTGGACTCTCCCAACACGTCACTATAAGACTGGACTCTCACACACGTCACCACACGCACCACCACACATTTCCTATAATCCTATAATTCCTATAATTTATAATCCTTATCTTTATAATCTCTTCTGCTATTTGCACATTCTTTACTGTAAATTCCTAAGTTAATTTGTAAATTTTTGTAGTAAATTGTAAATATTGTAAAACTTTTCTTCTGTCATTTAATGGTCGGGCATTGTACAGCTACAAGCATTTCACCCCCATGTCATACTGTGTATGGTTGTGTGTGTGTGACAAATAAAATTTGAATTTGAATTTGAATTTGGTTAGATGTACAGATGGATGGATGAATGCTCATGTTTGGCCAATTGTTGATTGATCTTTGATCCAGTAGTGCAGCCACATTATACACTTATTTACACCGAGATAATCCAGTACAGAACAGACTCAGCTGTCATGGAGCACTACTTGTGTAGACTACACCTAAGACAGGAAGTTCAGTGACACCAACGCACACCTACTCCAATTTAGAATCACCAGTTGACCTAACATGCTTGTCTTTGGACTGCAAGAGGAAGCCAGAGCATGATAACGGAATCAACACAGGCACAGGGAGAACATCCAAACTCCACACAGAGTTTGTAAGGTGAAATTACATTACAAACACGTAATCAATCAGTGGGTATTAAACTGTGTAGTGTCAATGAATATAATGTATACGAAAAAAAGGACATGTTACTTCTGGTTGGTGGGCACACATGGGTTCTCTACATTTCCATTGTTGGGGCTTATTTACTGCTATCCTAAGCTTGAGCAAAATGGGTAACTCAGGTAGCAAGCATTTGGCTCTGGAGGAATGTCACAGTTTATCTGTTCTAGGCAAGGTCAAAGTTTAAATTCTTCCTTTATTTAAAGGTTTACTAAAGTTTGTCTAAGTCTATATATTGGCCCCAGGCCTGTGTGTCATGGGAGACACCACCAAGAACATTTCCCAACAACCCACTACTGAGGATCACTAGACCACACAAGCCTTTCTGCTACAACAAGGCTCGGATCCAAGAAAGTACTTGGATCGGGAATAGCCACTTGGGTGGAGGCCCCAGGGACAATGTGAGACGTGCAGAAGGGATTAGAACTCCCAGCTAGCCTGAGACTCACTAGCTCCCTCCGAAGGAACTGGAGGGAGTTGCTGGAGAGACAAGAATACCTGGTCATCTCAGGCCTCTATTACAGCTGTGACAGTGAAGTGAAAGAAGTATTTTGGAGAATGAATGAGAATGAAGAAAGGAAAACACCAAAATAAAATGATGACTCCAAAAGCCCCCCAAAAAAGCTGAATTTGAGTTAGTACTATAAATTACTTCATTAGCAATTAAATAGAGAAAAGTAGTCACAGAGTAAAAGACAAAATCAGTCCAAGTTCAAGGTTCATCTGCCTTTAATTTTCCAAGATATACCTCAGCAAATCAGTTAAGGTCAGAGAAAAACACCAGAATCCTGTCACCGACACACTTTCTTGTTAAAACAGACACTGAGGTGGTGCTTACAGGAGTGCCTCCAGTTGCCTGAATACAGCTTTACTGGCCTCTTGGGGTACTTGTTCAAAGCAAGCACAATTGGGCACATTCCCATTCTTACGAAAGCTACCTTAGCGTGTTCTCTGGCAATGCTAGCAGCCGCCTTAAAAGAGACTGACAGTTCCTCTGTTGCAACCCTGATGCTGTAGGCGACTTGACGAATGAGAGAAAAAGCTGGAGAGATTTGCGCTTAATGCCACAGAGGCGCTTCCCTTTCCCCTCCTGTACTCCAGGGCAAAATCCAAGGCATCTGACTCTCAAATGTAAGGCCTCCGACTTTCCTCTTTGCTCAAATCCTATGTGATGCTTGGATTTATTTATTTTTTTCAAAATCTTGACATTTATGATGCACTCTGTTGCTCTGTGCTTTGCATTCTTATTCTTAGCGTTATTAATTTCAGTTTTGAAGTTTGACTTTTTAACATTTGTAGGCTACTCTGCAGTACATTAGGATTTTGTCAGACCATTTCATGAAAAATGGAGTAGTGTGGCACAAACAGAATAGATTAACCCAAAATGATGATGCTACGGGTAATCTGGGTTTCACTGAAAGGAGCTTTTAGTGTTTAATAGACCAATATCAGTGTGTAGGTGTGTGTTTCTGAAGGAGCTGAGTGAGCACACACATATGTATTGATTGACTCTGGTTTGCTGTGGATGGCAGGCAGTCCAGGGGGAGATGGTTGGAAGTATGTAATGTGAGGAGGATGCAAGGAGGTAGGGGTGAGTGGGGGAGCATCTCCAAAGAAAAGTCCTTCTGAGGCCATTGTCAACTAATGTCTTGTTTAGATCCAATAGCCTTGTACAGCAGATTCTAGGTGCCACACTAAGTGCTGACAAGAGAGTAGCCACAAACGGCAATGAAAGGCTTTCAATTACAAGTTAAAAGGCATAGCTTAATGAGGACAACATCACAGGGCAGGGGAAAAATGAAAACAAATTGAGATAAGTTGAAGGCGAATGTTTTGGTATGACAAAAGACAAAAAAGAAAGAAAGAAAGAAGAAGTGTCACTAAAACTATGGAAATCTATCACATACTACTGAAGGGGGAGCATGCCTGTTTGTGTTGGCTGGGATGTCTGAGAGATGGTCCTAGAGGAGCAAACACACCCAACCAACCGAGTCAACTCTCATATTGCTCTCCCTTCACTATTCACTCTACTTTGACTTGACTTTCAAAGGCTAAGGATTCTTTCCCTCAAAGGAGATGCAGAGAAAAACAACAACAACAACACTGCAGCTGTCTATGTCAGAAGAGCAACATCTTGAAATAAATTTCTTTCTTTTTTTTTCACAGTTTTTCAGATTTACAAGATGATTTTTGTTTTGCTCTGCTTCTTTCTCCAAAATAATTTTCCTGTAAAAGTCTTGCTCAAAAGCTAGAACTGCTCCCCCAAACTATAAATAATTCACAAGTACATTTCACCCTGGTTCATATTCTGATTCCCCACAGGCACTAAGGAGGTGAACGCTACAGGAAAGTCATTCACAGTGAGGAGTAGCCTTCAGTTCCAGGTGGACAAGCGGGATGACGGCGTTGCCTACACCTGCAGTGTGGAGCATGTGTCTTTGTCCAAACCCTACATGACAACCGAGGTCCTGGAGGTCCACTGTGAGTGGGGTCATAGCCTGTAAAACTGGGTAGATTAGCATTGCTTAGATTAGCGAAATACATGGATTGAGATTACAGTTATGTGTCCAGGTTTAGTCTTGCATTTGTTCTGGATTAATATGGGATTATCTTGCAGGTAAGGGATTAGTGCCTAAACAGAATAGTGATATGGGCTATAGCTAAGAGCTGCTCAGTAGGCACAGAGCTAACTACTGTTGCATTTTGTGTTAGAACCACTTTTTTGTGTTTCTTTTTTTGTCTCCTCTTTGCAGATGCTCCCCATCTGGAGATCACACATTCACTCATCATCCCACAGGAAGGCCAATACTTCAAACTGGAGTGTGTTTCCATAGGCAACCCAATGTAAGTTGAAAAGCATTTACAACTTCAATTTCATATCAGCACAAATAGTGCAAATTGCACCTAAATGTAATTTGTTTTGTGCCTTGAGATGACTTGTGAAAATGAATTGAAGTGAAATCAAATTCATTATGGTTTGTTATTGTTTTTTTTTTTATCACAGCAGTTTATTCAGTTGCAGTTAAATACATTTTCTCAAATTCTTTCCCAGACCTGAGCCAGTGGAGTGGTCTAAAGATGGAGGAGAGCTGCCAGACATTGAGCGTATGATTGTGGAGGGAAGGGAACTTACCATCACTACGCTAAACAAGACAGACAATGGCACATACCGGTGTGAGGCCAGCAACCATCTGGGGTCCAGTAGTGCTGAATACATACTGTTTGTATATGGTGGGTACTTCAGTAAGGGCTTTTTTTGTTATGCTTTATCATTTCCCTTTGTTGCTGCTTACAAAGCTTTGCAGGCAGTTGTGTTCAAACTCAAAGGCAGATGGTGTTCATCACAAAAATACAAACCCAGTCCATGTCAAAAAAGCGAGAGTCAACTGGTAACTGTAACTGTTGAAAACAACCTGTTTTAAATATGAACGATTTTTCAATACAGGGAAATCAATAAATTGATCATCTTTGCAATATCAGATAATCAGTTGTTCAAAGTGGAGACACTTTAGGTAAGGAGTTTATGGGAAGGTAACTTCACTTCAATCATTTAACAGTCATTGATTAATAATTTATGAATTTCAGCTATCAAGGTCTCCACACCCACACATCTCTTTGAACGATAAGCAGATAGACTTAATGAATGGATATTTGGATAAGCATAAATGGGTAAACATGTTTCAGATCTTTTTCATCAAAAATAAATAAATAAATAAATAAATAAAAATCAGATTTCCCTGAATAATGTTTGGCATTAATTTGAATGCCATCTAGATTAAATTGGTTTTAATATTTCAGACACTTTAACCACACGTTTTAACTACTATTACTACTGCAACATATGTTGGCGATATAATGGCTGGCAAATATACAGTTTTAACATTCAACACAGCCATTGGGTTCAATGATTTCAGTGTATTCTAACATGGCCATTAAGTCTACAACCATGAATAAAATGACTCACCAAAGTTGCTCAGCTAAGATGTCTGTATATTTCATTAGAAAACTGATGGTAGCTCACAACAGAGAAGGAAATTTAATTATGTTAAAACACACTGATGTATAAGGTCAACACGACACTTTACATTCTGCTTCCATCTGGATCATCAGTTGTCATTCGCAGATGACACACCGTCTTCAAATGACAACCTGCACATCCTCATCAGCATGTTGGCTTTTTAGTTTGTGAGACAGCTCTAAAGTGAGACATGTGTTTGTAGTAAATGAGATAAAATATTTATTATTATATAAGAAAAAAACTTGCTATATGGGGGTTTTATATTTCTGCCAATTAGCAATAAAAGATGGTGCAGAAGAGAGTAGATTGTGACTTGCAACAGCTAAACGGTATTATTTGACACAAAGGTGGCATAATAAGAATGATAAGTTAAGTCTGTTTAAATATCATCAATTTGCAGTTCAAATATATATTTTCTTTATAAGAATAATACATATCGTGCAGCACAGAGATCTGTAGTCATGCAGTTTTCCACTCCATGTACTCAAGAATCCACTTTCAAATTTCGCCTTGGCACTATGCAGGATAACACAGTTTACCTCACTACTTATCACGGCGTGGGTTTAGCTTCTGGACTCTTCCTGTGAGGAAACAGAAAAAAAGTGTTAAGGATGCAGAATTTAGCTTCCAAGTACAGCCTGGAGGAGAGATAAGTTAATCCTGAGACAGTGAAGGGGTTGAGAGAATAAAGACGACATGGTCCAGAAAATGGTTCGTTAAGGCCTCTGCAGCGCATGTTTGTAACATTTATCAAATACGGCCAAAAATAAAAAAATAAAAAAGGCAGAAACAAGAGCAGAATATTGCAATTCAACATGGATTTATTTGTTTCCACTTTTGCCAGCTAAACAGTGCCACTGGAGATTGTAGTTTGTTTGTGAACGACTTATCGCAGCACAGACTTATTCAACTCCCGAGCAGTTAGTGGATGTACGGCAGCTTTTCTGTGTGATTTTTAAAAGCAAAGGCTTTGGGGGAAAAGAAAGCTCTTCATTGGGAAATATGAAAAGAAAAGGATGACACATTGGTCTTTTCAGCTTTTGTTATCTTGTTCTCTCCTTTCAGCATGTTCATTGAACAGGGGTAGGCAGTGATGCCAGCCTAGTGTAGATCACTGTATCACCCTGTCATATCTAGACACCATGTGCTGATCTAAGGTTTCCTTCCTCGCATAAGATGTTTTTTTTATTTATTTCAAACCAGAAAAAAGAGAAATTTGTTGAACTAACCCAGGTGTTTAGAATTATACATACCCAGAGGGTTTCTAGCTTTTGTAATACTGGCTTAGGAAATAACAGATGCGATAACCCTCAGCATCCATCTTTTACTAAATACAAAGGTTCTGGTAGGGAGGATTGAGAAATTGAGTTGAGCAGGTAAAAAGATGCGTGAGACGGGCTGATTTCCACCGATGATGACAGTCATTTTTCAGGGCTACAATGTGTCTGGCTGGATACTTACCAGGTCTCTTTGGATCGTCTCAGCCTCTAAACCTAATTTGCTAATGACAAGAGAGATGAGAAGCCATAAATGTCATCGGTCTGAAGCAATATATCACAGACTGCAATTATATCCTTTAATATACTGCAATAAATAAAGAAAAAGAAACACTGTATTAGATGACAGAGCGGTAGTAACAGATACTAGTTTAATTAAATAGAGTCTGCATACATCTGTGAAGCTGCAGACTCACTCATGCCTGTTTCTCTCACATTTCATTGTGATTGATTGTACATTTTCACCTCAACAAGCATGACACATTGTAAGTTTCACTTTTCCTGTGTGTGCTCTATTTACCAGCCAATCATCAGTTGCTTGAAATTTTAACAGATGTAAAAGTCCTTCGACTCCTTCATGCGTGACTCATCTTTTACGGGGTGATACTGCTGAAAGACTTTACTGATTCAGGGCTTGATTCATTGTGCAGCCCTTGTATTTTAACGTCAGTTCATTGTTTTCTTCTTCTTCTTCTTTTCGCTTGTATTTACTAAGGTGAAGTAAAGTCATGAATTAAGCTGCACCAGCCACACACAGTAAATCACCGGGGCTGTGTGACTGTCCTGTCAGTTTCTCACACCGACGCCTGTGCTCCTCAGAGTGGTTTGTTTTCGCTTCCAGTTGTTCCTATTTTTGCTTAGCAGACGTCATCGCCTTCGTGCCTCCCTCTCTAGCCTCAATCCTTGCAGTCTTCTAATGCCTACATTGCCACATTAAGCATAGGCAGTCACAGCTGCGTTCACTTGCACCCGCTGCGTGGCCCCGCCTCCCCCGTGCTCCACGCACTCACAAACGTGACAATGAACACACGGCTGATGATTGATGAGCTCAAAACCAGGCTTTGAGCTAGAAAGTAACATTGTTTCATTTGATGAATTCAGTATCCTTTTCACTTTCTATTTGTTTGTTTTTTTCTAACAACGCTGTTACATATGGATCATTTTTATTACTGCATGTGATTAATTCTGTTATTGATAGCTGATGTTATGCAGATATTGTAAAAATAACAAACCCCATTGTGGAGTTACTGCTGGTAAACCACTGCATACATAAAAGTCCAAAAAGGAAACATGACAGTGTTCATACTTTTGTTCTTGGGCTGAAAATGAACACGTGCAATTATCTTAATGATAATTAATAACAATGTTCAGCAAAACCACATGCTTCATGTCACTATTTCACTCTGTCTCTCCTAATGGAATTACTGTTGCAGTGTTTGTGTATTATGACTTTGACATACTGAAGCACAAGAGCTGTCTGCAGGTAAAACATGGCTGCATTAAAAGAAAAAACAAGTTTGTTGGATGAGAAACTGCAAACATTACTTAGACTTAGGCTGTGCTTTGTTTTGGTAATAACTCGCATTAAAGGTGCCGATTAAATTTTCTTGTAAACAAACAAAGGTTATATTATGTTCCTGCAAAAACACATCGTTTTTAACTTTGACTAATATTTTCTTCCTTGTAAAGTATTTGCTCCATATTTATCCCCTGGCAGTACCTTTGCAAACGCAATTTTTGGTCAGTGGAACAGCTTAAAACTGGCAAGAATGTGTAATGACAGCATGTGCTAAAAAAGGAGGGATAAGGAGCCTTATATAGTAACCAGAATATTAATCACACAGCCACACACACACAAACACAATGTGTGTGTATGATTTAAAACATTTAGGTGATGTTTGAACGTTTAAAGCAGATTCAAGTTCCCTCAGTATTAACACAATGGCACGCAGTACAAAAGAATTTGTTTTTCCATGTATCTCTACTGCTCTATGCATTCAGATGGTTTGGGTTTTTGGCACAGGTTTTGACATATTTGTCTCTCAAATATTCTGCATATGCCTGCCATAAAGAGTCCTGGGTAGTAGAATTTTATTTGTAATGTATAAGCAGGAAAAAAAGAGCAATATGCTCCAATGTAGACGAATTATTAAACAGGTACCAGTTAACTTAAAATACCCAAACCATCTGAATACTTGTGGAGGTTAGTGAGATAGTATTTGACCAATTAAGAAACTACGCACTAACTCTATACGTATACAACTTTCTTGTGCTGCTCTCTAAATCAACATTTATAGCAAGTCCAGTTAGGCATGTATTTGGCTCATGTGACAGCAAGCTGTGCATACCTGCACACTGTCAAGTAAACCAGAACCATGGAAATCTCTTTGTGTTTTCCTTTGAACTTTGTGGTCACCTTTTTTATCACGGTGTTGTTCCCCTCGTCTTCCCTTACTGCTGTCACTGTCTTCAACCATGGCAACAGCCAAAGACTTTCCAGGGCCTACAACAGGTAAATATCCCAGTAGATGATCATTTCAAGCCAGATTTAGAGTGTGTGATCTGGATCTGGCTCTGGGTCAAGACACATCACGGCCTCACCCAGCATGAGCCAAATCATCACCATGCATGGATGCTCGCTCAGTCGTTTTCTCTCCAGCCATGTCACAGGCTGCATAAGTCATCACACAATATGTTTCTATTTTGCTTTGTCTTTGCCACTGAAATAGATGGTTCTCAAAGGACCTCTGCTGAAGATTGTATTTGTGACAGTATCTATGTATATGATCCTGTGGTTACAGTAAACCAAAGTCAAAAATTATCTTTCAAATATCTGATCACAGAGCTCTTGAAAAGTATTTGTTCACCATTATTTGTAGATTTGATCTAAGTGCAGAATTTCTGTTTGCAGGAATTTAGTTATTTTTCTTTGTAAGACATTTGGAGTGGGATTGTGTCTAATTAATGCAACATGATTAAAACAACTTATCTCTCTTAATGTAACTGAACATCAGATCAGGCAAAATATGACCGACGAAATTACTCTTGTCCCTGTGTGCTCTTGAAATGACCTTTTGTTGTTGAATGTAGCAACTTACATCCTATCTTATCTTTTATGCTGCTTTATTTTAGTTTGTTCCAGAGCAGTAACTACTGTATCTACACAATCAGTACCAAATTCTGTTAAAAATGCACCAGCCAAGTGTGATATAAAAGATTCCTTATGCTCCTTGCTGACAGTGCTGTACAGATCATTCTATCCATTAACATGCAACCAAATTCAGTTAATTCAGATCAAAAAAAAAAAAGAAAACTCAGAGTTTGCAGTGCCTGCTTGTGAGTTGATGAAACAATCGTGGTGGTCTATTCTGCATGGAGTTTAATAAACTGCATGTTGCACAGCTTCATCCCTCTTTTTTTTTTGAACGTCCCGCACGCTGGGATTTTAAAAATGAGGGTTGCATTCGTTACCAGCAGAGTATAACAAGGTTTGTAGAAACATCGCCGCAATCATTTCCCAGGGTCACTTTGGAAAACCGAGCACAAGCCATAACCATTCATCAGCCTGAGATAATGAGAGCACACAAGGTGCACAGTAAAGACACAGCCACTCACAGTTTATCACAGGACCGGCACAAAGGCATGCTCCTGCCTGGGAAACCCTCTGTCTGCTTTCTGCCCAGAGGATGCACAGTGTTAAATAATGCTTATTTAAAAACCTAGTCCTGAGCATTATGAAAGTAGTGCTAGGAAAACAGAAACATGAAAGACAGAAAAAAGGAGGATAATGCCAAGCTTTTTAATTGTATAGAGATTTGTGGTATTTCCTAAGATTACTTTTTTTCTTTTTTTAACAACTGTTCAGGTACTTCAAAGCAGTCGTTTCAGGTTGTTCTAAATCTGACAGAAGCTCATCTGCTACTCTTGTGCTTTGTTCACAAGTGTAAAAGCAACATCTGGATTTTTTCAGGTTATTTGCAGCAAAATACCTTTAATGCTGTTTAATAAACACCTACAGCTGCATTGACAGTAGAAGCTTCCAGTTGTTAAGTTATCATTCCTCCACTTTTTCTCATCTCCTCTCTCTATCTGTTGTGTTTCAGATCCTAATGCTTTAGGACAGCATGGACCTGACCACGCTTTAATCGGCGGAGTTGTTGCAGTCGTGGTCTTCATCACCTTGTGTTTGATAATAGTCCTTGGACGATATCTGGCCAGACATAAAGGTAAAAGAGGTCTCCTGAACTGCTCTGAATATCACTTTGCTTGTTTGCAGTAAATGAATATGTCTTGCACTCTCTAGCTGGTGGATAACTTGCTTTTTATGTCTGCAGGGACATATCTAACACACGAGGCCAAAGGAGCAGAGGACGCCCCTGACGCTGACACAGCCATCATCAATGCTGAAGGAAACCATGTGCATGCAGAAGAAAAGAAAGAGTACTTTATTTAGACTTCTTTTTCCTCACTTCTTTCATTTCATGACAACCTTTGACAGCAGACGTGCAATTTTAAGCTGTCTCAGACTCACTGCATTGTCTTTTTTAATTTATTGTTCTGTCTTTTTTAGAAAGCAATCATGCTTAGATATGCTTGTTTTCAAAGCATTCACTAACAAAATAGCCTTCGTCTTTTGTAATATAATCCATGTACAATTGGATTATGTCCTTTTCAGTTTTTCTGTGCCTAAATGCTGTACATTCTTCTGCATTTCTTTCATTGCCTGTATTTTTCTCTACTCTTTCTTACGTTACCTGTTATACAACCTTTTGCAGATTTTTAAAATTCAGAAGTAACAACAGTAATTTTGTTCTCCAACTCAACTCTCAGCATTTGAAAAGGTTTTTCTGTAGGAGCAAAATATGTTAAATACATCAGTTTTTAAGGATTACATGATTGGCTTGGATGTTTCCCGGAGCTAACCCTCCTCAGACATGCCGCACACGTTTAGAGCATCTTAAAACAGATCAGATACTTTAACAAACACAAAGCAGAAGCACAATCTGAGTGATTGTCTCGAGATGAAATAATCGCCCTCTTAGCATTGTCTGTATATTCCTGCACTGATTTTTTTTTTTCCCTTTTTGTTACACTGTTGATTTATAACCAACAAAGAACAAGTTAGAAAATTAAAGCACAAAGTCTGAGGACTATTACAGAGGGGAAAAAACATCAACTGCTTTTTGTCTCAGGATTCAATATGAGTCTAGATGGAGAGATGGTGTCAGACATGTGAAGAAGACTTCAGTTCAATCGCAGTTATTGTTGTGGATGAAAAACGTTTCCTTTTTGTTGGCGATTTGTTGTAATATCCAAACTGAATGAGTGGAACCTTGTGTCGGTTCATTATTTATGTTGAGTTTTATTGAACAACTATGCTAAATGTGTGGATATTGCTGTAAAATACTTTGCTAACGTGAATATTAGTGACCAATATTGTTGAATCTTGGGATCCCTGACACATTGCAGTTTGTATATTAGCATATACAGCATTTAACGGTACTTCACAGATCTTTCATGTTTTTCCATTTCTTTCCAATTTTGTTTTGCCCGAAGGCATGTAAATAATATGTAAGTATTCAATTTTAGTAAAAGGAAGAAAAACTCTGGTTATAGCCTTTAATTTCAGGTCATATGAGTTCCAGTCACTTCGAGGACAGCGTTTTCACATTTTTGAAGATTTCTTCAAACAGGGATTCTAATGAAATGCTTAAAATGTTACAAAAAAAAATCTGGGTAAAAATATATGTATTTATTATTATTATGGCTGATTGACTTTCTTATATGATACTATATTGATTGATATTATTGCTGTTATTATGAAGTAGTTGTCTGACATTAACTTTTCCATTTTTATTTCTGTAAGTTCTCATAAAAGAACAATACAAGGATCACCGTTATGGCCTTTGAGTTTGCTGCAAACAGTACTAATGACATGTTTAGGCATTGGTGAATCAAACATCCCCTCACTGTATATAATCACTGTATCAAAGACATTGAACCACATTGCCAATGCTCATACATGTTATTTTGTTAGTTCAGTATGATGCTATAAATAACTCATTTTGTACAGATTTAAATTGCTGTAATTAATTTGCTTTTTATGGGGGATGTGTGAGGTTTGCTTTTTTTCACAGTATTGAATATTCATTTTTCAACTATGCCACTGTAAAATGAAAAAAAAAAAGATGCGAAAAAAGAGAGATGAAGTGCGGATTAAAAAATGAACAACTTGAAAGATGTCCTTTTGTTGTTACTAAATTTGCACCTTGAAGCGCCTTGCCGTGATGAGTTGGAGCGCTATTACCTGCACTCAGTGAATCAGTCCACGTAGCTGCCGCTGAGCGAGAGAAGCATATGTGGTAGGCAGTGCTGTGACTTAAGTTGCACTATAATTGATATTCTATACTACTATAGTAACTGTTAAGTATTACTTGCCTTTAGTGTTAATAATATATGCAAAGTGTCTGACTTGTAGAAAGATTAAAAGTCCATGAAGCTCCTCGGGAAGATTGCCCGAGGCATTTAGCTTCAACTCATGATTTGTGCATTAATACAGGGCGACAAAAGGAACACTTAAGTCTTCCCAAATTCCTCCGTGTCTCAGTGGACCTGAGTTTGTTATGCTTCAAGTGGCTTCAGGAAGCTACTCGCAGACACCCACACAGCAGGCTGCTGTTGCCCTTGTTTTAACAAATTAGACAAGAAGTAGGTTGGGTTCGGTCAAGGATGCTGAAATGCAGTTGATTGCTTTAAAAGTGAAGAAAAATTCTAATACTTGAGATGAAACTTTATTTAAGCCAGTAGCCAGAGAAAAACGAAATAAATATTCTTTTTTTTCCTAGTTTTAAGAAGCTGTTACAGTTGAGACAATTGTAGAGTTAAAGCATGTGCCGCAGATGTTGTGTTTACTTTTGTGAAACATAGAAGAGTCGTATAAATCACAGATATATTAACTGATTGATTGATGTGCGTTACCGCCATTCATGTTCACTTAATTACTGGAAACAGTCATTTCTGTGGGATAAATATTTACTATGATATACATGAAACCAAATGATATGCCTTTGAAATACCCTGAATATAAGCAACATATATTATTACATATATCCATATTATTTATTTAAATATGGCTCAATGTATATCTGCAGATGAGAATTAAAAATTCAGCACCCTACCAAATCTACACTGAAACAAATTTTCATTTTCATAGCCTACATTTAGTAATATATAACAGACAGCGTGCCGTAGCAATTTAGAAAAATACAAGATGACACCTTTAATGGTCCATTATCACTGCTTCAGTGACACAGATGTACTCTTGAAGTGTGAGGACGAGACGATAGCCTTGCACAGATTACTGAGCTCATATTAAATGTCTCAGCATCCTTAAAGGGAGATCTCGTTCCAGGACACAGGACCCAAGTCATTACGATCCTCTATTCTTTAGCTCCCATTGACCTTGAGCATAATGTTGCTTCCCAGCAGACTAATGTTGCTATTATCAACACACTGTCCGACCAACCATCTGCCTGCTTCACACAACGCCCGGCTCCCCCTCTCCTCGCACACAGACGGTTCCCAATGCTCACTTCATAATCATTACCACCAAAAGCCCAGCCAGTTCAAATAAACATCAGCTCCCACTATTGCACCCCTTCACATTATTAAAAGCTCAGTGCTTCATTAAGCTATGTAAATTGAGATAGACTGTCTTGAATAATGCCTGGCAGAAAATAATGCTAAAAATCCATCATCATTTAGTAACTGGATATCAAGAAGGCAAACATTTATGTGTAATAGTAAATTGTGAGTTGGAAAATGGATTTTCGCTTTACCCTTGAAATGCGAGACCCATACCCTGGGCAATGTAACAATCACAGCATGACCTCTGAGGAGGCCTTGTAAGTCTTACTAAACTGAAGAAACTGATCCCCACTGTACCCTGTAGGCAGGGTCCATATCAGCTCACAATAAGCGCTTATCATAGCAGAACAGAAGTGTCTGACAAAATTCTTCAGGGACAAACGGATATCTTAAAAACACAACACTTAAACACATTGGGCCTACATACTGATTTTAAATGTCAAAAGTTATTCCTTTAGTTAATAGTCATTACAAGTTTCATTTGTGCATTTGTGTGTTATTCATGAGTGTTAAGCTTCTCTTTTTTTTTTCGAGTTTTATTATCAAGGCTCTGGAAGAAAAGTAAAGTTTTTACAAAAACATGAGCCCCGCTGCTGTCAACATATTTTTTTGTTGTTGTTTTTTTCCTTTTCATTACACAATTCTGCTGTAGATTAGTGACAACTGGCAGAACCATTGAAACAAGGGGCATAAAAAGCCCTCCAACCATAGCACAAATAATGGTCCTTCTCTTGGATTAACAGTACAACGTTTTATGCAAAAATAACAGTTCTTTCACTTGTTTTCACTATCCAAGCATGTAAATTGCCTTGTGTAATTCACAGGGCGATTTGCGTAGGAAGCAAAAGGATAAAAGGATTTCAAAGATGGGGTGTGGTGCAGTATGCTTAACAGAGGTGATGGAGAAGTGTTTGTCCTCTGGATCATGTTTTTAATTACAGATTTAAAAGGTATTAGTGATTCTGCAAAGTAGCCTGCTGATTCATGCAAACATTTAGTCAGTGCTGTACTTACAGATACTTTAACTGTGACATCTCTCATATTGCTTTGTAGGACAAACGGTGTGGAAGAGTTAGCTTATAATTGTTGCCCTGCAGCTAAAGGTTTGGTATAAAAGATGAAAAGCAGGATATTTTTCAATATTCTGCTTTTTATTTTCAGTCCTTTGAATAGAAACTCTGTTATCACTGGCCATAGAAGCCTGGGATTGCATTGTTTGTGCAAATGGATTTTGTCTTTGATTGACAGCTCACTCTAATGGAGAATCGGGAAGAATCATAATAGCATGTTTACAGCACTGCTGCTACCTTGGAAAATGGCCCATTGCAGAAAATTCTCACAACGATACAAACTGTAGTTACCGGTAATCTCCTAGAACATTATGGATTTGTCAAAATACCCACAGCTAGATTATTTTAAGGTTTTCTCACATATCTATAAACAGGTTTGTGTTGTTTTTGTAAATATAAAGGGAGTACAGGTTGAGCACAGCTGAGGCTTCCTGTAGCCCCATTTCACTTAACGTTTACACCTCATGAGTATCTGTACTGCATCGGAGAGCTATGGGATATTGTCTTGAGATGTGTTATGCCTAATCATATTTGATGAGATTAAACAGATCACTCACGCTTCTAGTTGTGACAGGGCCGAGTGGAAGTTAGAAGGAGTCAAATGATCTGGAACAAAGAACATGAGCTTGTGTATCCCCCCAGATGCATCACCATGCCATTAGTCTAGATGAATGTGTACAGTCAGACACAATTCCCTTGTTTGCTGCATGAGGGCTTCCACTTTGTGAGGCAGTAGCTCTGCTGTGCGAATCAGGCCACATGCAGGTCCATGGATTGATGACTGAAACAGGGCTACCCACTGTATTTTAAACTCATTCATCCACACTGACTCACATTCTCTGTGGTGCATCTTTAAATAGCCTTCCCTGGGATTGTCTGCCTGCCAGTTGATTAATTCTATATTGCATGTGCATGTGTGTGTGCGTGAGTGTGTGCGTTTGGTTTAATTACAACAAACTTTTCTGAATTGTTTAGGTGAAATTTAAATCATGCAGGCACCCGAGAATACACAAGCCAGCCTTGTTCTGGTTAGTCTTTTGGGGCGGGGGGTAGGAGAGGGTTGAAAGAGGAGAGTTGTTGAGTGTTTGGTGGTGGGGTGTAGTACTGTACCTGTGGCATAAGGTATGCAATAAATAGCTTGCCATCTGTTTGGATTTGAACACTTGAGATTCTTCCAAGAAACTCACCAGAGACTTAATTAAAGTTGGAATATTAGGAGCGTGAGACTGACGTTCCACTAATAAAATGACAGCTAGAGGAAATTCTTGAATTAGTTTAAAACAGATATTCTTTTTTTTTTCTTCAAAATAAAAAAAGAAAACTGTGACTGTAAGGGAAGCGTTTCACCTTGTAAATTATTCCAATCGTTTTGATGATTTTTTATGATTCTAATCTCCATTTATTAAGGACATCTGCTCTTTCCAGCAAATAGGCACATTTAATGAAGACACAGGAAATGATGTATGTTCATACAAGTAATATGTTGAATACGGAAGCGCTGCGCTGTTGGTTAAATGAGTGATTAGCCAGTTAATTGGTGGATAAAGAACAATATTTGTCATGGAAAGATGATGTGCTTTAAGTTTATTGTCTCTTAAAAAAGGGGCTACTGCTAAATAAATCAAAATAAATATTTGATATGCTTCTGAAGGCAAATAAATATTTTATCAAAAGCAACAGTGAATAACTTTTCTGAAAACTACACATAAACTATCCAGAACCATTCTCATAACCTTGTGTTGCTCAAACAATGGTTGCACCTCTGTCATTGCATACGTACTTGTATTTGTTCAAATCACTCCCATGACAAGAAAATAACTGTTAATTTTTCAGCAATTTGTTTGGGCAGGAAAATCCAAAAGCAATGCATAGTCTTTAATTTCATCAAGAGTATGGTCCTCCATACAAGAGAAGTGGGGTTTTATAAATGAAAAAATGAGAAATGTTCATATTTTTCAACTACCTAATTAAAGAACATATTGGCTATTATAAATTTTCATCTGTATATTGCATATTCTAAATTTCTTGTGCAAATTGCAACCCTTTTCTAGTAAACACATGATATTAACCCTTGTATGGTGTTCGGGTCTGTGAGACCCGTGTTCAGTTTTTTTCAAAAGAAAAATTAAACAATTAATTATTTTTTCACGTGTAAATGTGTTGTGTCTTTCCACTCACTCCACTTGATTATAACTGATTTATTTATAACATTTTATATAAAAGAAAAACGAGAAGCACATTAATTCATAAATGTGATCTAACAAAGGTAAAGGGAAAAAATTAACCATGTTTGCTGTTCATATGTCTTGTAATTGGGATGAAGTAAACATCTGTTGAGTAATTTAACATAAAATTGTTTGATAGTGTTAATTTGGAAAGCCAAAACTCTAGCGGGTCCACCAGACCCATGAACACTGGCTGAGTAACAAAAATACGAACACCACACAAGGGTTAATCAATACACTATAACATACTGCAGTTCTTACAAACTGTGGTACCTGCAGACTGCCAGCT